AACCAACAAAGTCGGCAAGAAACGCCCACAATGGTGGGCAAAAAGCACCCAAAGTGGCCAGGAAAAGAGACCCAAAGTGGCCAGGAAAAGGCACCCAAACTGGTCGGGAAAGGCACCCAAAGTGGCCAAAAACCCCAAACAAACTGGCCAAAAAGGACCCAAATTGGCCAGAAAACCAAACAAAGTGGCCAAGAAGCATCCAAACTGGTCAGGAATGCACCCAGACTGGCCAAAATCAACCCAAACTGACCAGGAAACCAAACAAACTGGCCAGAAGAGCATTCAAACTGGCCAAAAAGGCACCCAAACTGGCCAGCAAAGCACCCAAACTGGCCAGGAAAACCAGTGGTGCTGGTTTCTCACCTGGTACTGCTTGAGGACGCCGTTGACCATCAGCGTGGACTGCTTGTCAAGGCAGCCAAAGTGACCAGAAAAAGGGACCCAAAGTGGCCAGGAAAAAGCACCCAAACTGGTCGGGAAATGCACCCAAACTGGTCGGGAAATGCACCCAAACTGGCCAAAAACCCCAAACAAACTGGCCAAAAAGGACCTAAATTGGCCAGAAAACCAAACAAACTGGCCAAGAAGCATCCAAACTGGCCAGCAAAGCACCCAAACTGGCCAGGAAAACCAGTGGTGCTGGTTTCTCACCTGGTACTGCTTGAGGACGCCGTTGACCATCAGCGTGGACTGCTTGTCCACCCGCTCGGTGACGGCGTGGGCCACGGCGTAATAGGACTGCAAGCCCCTGGCCAGGGCTTGAGACACCCCGTATTCATCATCCACGTCTTGCTTGGCGTTCCTGGAGGGGAAAAAACAGGGGGAAAATTGGAGATCCCTTTGGGGAAAGCCTCTGGGGAGCCCCATCAGGCCCGGAGCGGTGATTTTTCCCCAAAATACCCTAAATTTTGTCTTATTTTCGGGAGATTGTGCTCAAAAACTGATAGGGGAGTGAACGCCGCCCGCTGAGTTTTGCTCTTTGGATGGAAAATGTGTGAGATTCAGGAAAACGGCTCTGAAATAGAAATGGGGATGGGGTGAGGGTGAGGACTCACTCGATGATGTGCCGGGCGTCCACCTCTGAAACGTCGTCGCTGTCGGGGTCGGGGATTTTCTTCTTCTCCTCCACGGGCAGCGCCGGCTGCGTGGGCTGAGGCTGCTCCTCCTCCTCCTCCTGCGGGAGGAAAACACCACAAATTGAGCTTATTCTGCTTTAAATGTCATAAAAATACACCCCAAATTAGACAAAACTGGTCCTAAATGACCTCCCCCAAGAGCTCACGGATCCCAGAGGGGAAGGAAATGGGGCCGCTAACGAACGGAGCTCGATTTATTTATGGGATTTTGGGGGTTTATTTTAAATACATCGAATTGAAGCTGCTTGAGGCAGATCTGTGTCATTCCTCAGATGAGTTTCGGAAATATTTCAAGTCTAGGTGGGATTTCTCCTCATCTCCTCACCTCCTCCTCCTCTTCCGAGCCGCTTTCTTCGCTGTCGGATCTCGGAGCCACTTCGTACCTAATGAAAGGCAAACGGGAATAATTACCGAGCCAAAGCTGCTCCCAGCAGATGGGCACGGCTCTAGAAACTCCCTCTGATTTATTTATTGGTATCAATATTAAATATTTGTGGAAATTCATTTAAAAAATGCTCTTTATTCACCCGGGGTTCATCTCCAACCACGCTTCCAGCTGCCCGGCCTTGGGGGCATCGGTGCCGGTGAGGATTTTGCCGCTCTCCACGTGGATCACTTTGACGGGGAGGTCGCTCATCTGGCTCGTCTCATCCAGGGGCTGCGAAAGCAAAGCCAGGTTTGGGGGGATGGGGTCAGGATTTGGGGTTTTTGTGGCCCCCCAAATCAACCCCAGGAGAGCCCCAAACGACGGCTGGGGGGGGATTAAATGGCTGATTTGGGTTGAAATGCGGCGTTGGAGGGCGGGCAAAGCTCGGGAGGTGGTGGGATTTGAGGTTCTGCTTGGATAAATTCATGCAGAAATGAAGAGGTTGTGGGTGGGGAAGAGTCTTTAGGTGGCAAACCTCGTTTGTATGGGAAGAATTAATTGAAATAGCCACGGAAAAGGGATCTATCCCATTGTATACCCCATTATAAATCCCATTTTATATCCCCATTATAAATCCCATTTATCCCACTTTATACCCCATTTCATAGCCCATTTATCCCATTTTATACCCATTATATATCCCATTTTATACCCATTATATATCCCATTTTATACCCATTATATATCCCATTTTATATCCCATTAATCCCATTTTATATCCCATTTCATACCCCATTTATCCCATTTTATACCCTTTTTATACCTCATTTTATACCTCATTGTAAATCCCATTATAAATCCCACTTTATACCCCATTTACCCACTCCATATCCCATTTAAACCCCATTTATCCCATTTTATACCCCATTTCATACCCCATTTATCCCATTTTATACCCCATTTATTCAATTTTAGACACCATTTTATACCCCCTTTTTCCCATTTTATATCCCATTTTATACCCCATTTATCCCATTTCACACCCCATTTTATACCCCATTTATCCCATTTTAGACTCCATTTCATACTTCATTTATCCCATTTTATACCCCATTTATCCCATTTTATACCCCATTTATACCCCATTTATACCCCATTTATCCCATTTTATACCCCATTTATACCCCATTTATCCCATTTTATACCCCATTTATACCCCATTTATCCCATTTTATACCCCATTTATACCCCATTTATCCCATTTTATACCCCATTTATACCCCATTTATCCCATTTTATACCCCATTTATACCCCATTTATCCCATTTTATACCCCATTTATACCCCATTTATCCCATTTTATACCCCATTTATATACCCATTTTATACCCCATTTCATATCCCATTTTATTCCCCATTTTTCCCATTTATATACCCCATTTTTCCCATTTATATACCCCATTTTTCCCATTTTATACCCCATTTCTCACCCCATTTATCCCATTTCATACCCCATTTTTACACCCCATTTATCCCATTATAAACCCCATTTCATACCCCATTTATCCATTTCATACCCCATTACACATCCTATTCCCACCAAGGATGTGCAGCACGACCCAATCTCCCCACCCCAACACAAGCCCTATTCCACCAAGACCTCATTAGCGCGAGGACTTTAACGAGCCCGTAACACTTCCCACCCCCCTTGCCACGAATCGAGGACTTTTCTGCCTTACTTCGCCATCGGGTCCGATCGCCGGGGGCTGCCCCTCCGCGTTCTCCGCCTTCTGCACGGGGAAGAAGCCGACGTTCGTTAACGGCGCCGTCGTTAAAAGCCATTCCGCCCCCTCCCCGCCCGCCACATTTCCCCTCTGGATTTACCTTCTTCTTCTTCTTCTTCTTCTTCTCCTTGGCCACCTGCGCCGCCTTGTGCTGCCGCACCAGCTCCGTCAGGTTGGCCACGTACTCGTCCGTCTGCTGCAGCAGGTAGGCCAAGCGCTTGTCCTTCTTCTGGTCGATCAGCTTGCGGTACCCCTCCTCGTCCTCGGCCTGTGGAGAGGAAGGGGAGGTCGTTAACACTCACTAATGAGGGGAACCAGTCCTGATTAACATCTTTGGTCACTGATCTGGATGAGGGGATCGAGGGTCAATGGCATCCTGGGGTGTACTGGGGTGGATTAGGGTATATTTGGGTGTATTGGGGTGTATATGATGTGTATTGGGATGTATATGGGGTATATTGGGGTGTATAAGGGGTGTATTGGGGTGTACATGGGGTATACTGGGGTATATTAGTCTGTACATGGGTATATTGGGGTGCATATGGGGTGTATATGGGGTGTATTAGTATGTATATGGGTATATTGGGGTGTAGATGGGGCGTATTGGGGTGTACATAGCATATATTGGGTTGTATATGGGGTGTATTGAGGTACATTGGGATGTATATGGGGTGTATTGGGCTGTATATGGGGTGTATTGAGGTATATTAGTAGGTATATGGGGTGTACTGGGGTGTACTGGGATGCATATGGGGTGCATACGGGGTGTATAGGGATGTATATGGGGTGTATTAGGATATATTTGGGTATATTGGGGTGCATATGGGGTGTATTAGGGTATATTGGGGTGTACTGGCATGTATATGGGGTGTACTGGGGTATATAGGGATGTATATGGGGTGTATTGGGGTATACTGGTGTGCATATGGGGTGCATATGGGATGTATTTGGGGTGTATTAGGATATATGGGGTATATTAGGATGTATATGGGGTGTATTGGGGTATATAAGGGGTGTATTGGGGTGTGTAAGGGGTATATTGGGGTGTGTGAGAATTGGGGTGGCTGTAGGGCCATGGAGCTTCTCCTGCCCCTCTGCTCTGCCCTGCTCACACCACAGCTGCAATGTTGGGTCCAGCTCTGGGCCCTCAGCTCCACAAGGACAGGAACTGCTTGAAAGAGTCCAGCAGGGCCACAGAGATGAG